ACTGGTACTGGCCATGCAGCAATTTCAGGGCGCCAGGTCGTCCACAGTGGACAGACAGTGGGAAGTTCTACATGGTATGTGCTTTGCCAAGAGGGGTGTGCACTAAGCTGTACCCGTACGTGTGTGCACGTGTCTCCAGGATTCCGGGTGGTACACAGGTTTAAACGCTTGGCTACCAGTTGAAAAGGTAGCAGTTCAAAGCCCCCCACAGACGGTCTGAGACTCAGGCCTGGAGAACTGCTACTGAAAGGTCAAGGCCTTAATGACCCCAGGAAGTGGTTCTCAGTCGCACGTGGTCCAGGAGTCAGAATGAACTGGAAGGGTTTTAATAACAACCCTCCCTCCCTAGAACAAAAACACACAAAAACACACAAACACACACACACACACACACACACACACACACACACACACACACACACACACACACCTGACTCACAACAGCCCGTCTATCTGTTTCCCAGACAGCAACCATTCATCCTTGAAGTGGCTGCTGGATTCAAACCGCTGACCTGTCAGCAGTCTGACTCACACACTAGGCCTGGAGGGAGATCTGTAGCTACATCAAGTGCCCCGCCGGTGTGGTGTCCAACAGGCTGGCCCGAGGAGGGCTGCTGAGCTGGACTTGCCATGGCCCGTGTATGTGTGTGTTTACCTACGCGTATCCACATACAGTTACCGCCCGAGAAAACAGTGCACCCCACGTGTCCTGAGGGTGCGGCCAGGATCCCCCCTCCCTCTGCTGCTACGGGGGTAAGGAGATGCTCAGAGGAGAAAACCCCCTTGGAGGAGGGCCTGCCCCTTGCCCTGCCCACCTCTGCAGTTTGCCAACACGCCCGTCAGTCACTACCTCTCTGGCAGGTGTGGTGTGTTTCCACTGGGCAAGCTGAGGGAGGGCCCAGATCAGAGGACCCTGCCCAGCTGCGTGGCCAGGCCTGAGCTCCAGGCAGCTCACTTTCCATGCCACTGCCCACTGCCCCCTGCACAGTCTTGGCCCAGGTCCTGCCTGGCACCACAGGAAGGGTTTTGGGACCACGAAGCCCAAGTCAAGGACCTCACAACTCAGAGACTGCTCTGTGCTCTCAATCCCTGTCACAGAAGGTCCCTCCCTGGAATCCTTGGGTCAGCAGCAACGCCCAAGCCAGCCGCTTGTTAGAGCAGTGAGGCATCCCTGGGCTCTGGAAAGTTCTGCCTGTGCCAGCACCCGGTGGGGAAGGGCTGATGCAAGCCATGTCCCCACCCCCTCAGCCAGGCCCCAGGCCAGCCTCAACCTCCCAACTCAAATGCGGCGGGGTGAGCGGTGCTGACCCCATGTGGTGGGTGGCTGTTAGGCTCCACCAGGCTGCAAGGGCAGTGTCCCTGCACCTGGGGCCATTCGGTTCCACGGCTGAGGAGCCAGGGAGACGTGTGCCCTTGGGGTCACCATCACCACCCGCTGAGACAAGTGATCGTGCAACGCCCCCTTGGAGCTCTGTCCTTCACTCACAGAGGGCCCGAGGACTGCCCACCAGCTACCAGCTCAGAAGGTGGCTAGTCCCATGTGTCCTGCCAAGGAACCAAGCCACCAGCACAGGTGCACAGGGCCCTGCAGAGACTCCCATCACACCTCAGAGGCGATCTGGGGGTTCCAGCACCCAGTGCTGCACTCCACCCCCAGGCCCAACTGGTCTCCTCCGTTCATTGTCTGCCTTGCTCCACCCTCTTCCTGCTAAGGCCACCCTCTTCATTCTCTTCTGAAAAATATTATCTTTTCAGTGGAAAAAACACTGACTTCCGTTCCGAGGCAGTGCCTGCTGGGGAGGGTGTCCTCCAGCCATCTTGACGTCCTCCCTCGTTATGTCCTCCCTTGTGGCCTGCCCTCAGCCCCAGGCTTGGCGGCCAGGTGGCCAGGCGAGACTCTGACAGGTGTTTTTCTAACCCTGAGTCCTCCAGGCAGGGGCTAGCACACAGGAAGCCAGCGACAAGCCTTCTCTCCAGCCCAGGACAGCAAGCAGCTCCTCCCCCACCTCCCCGACCCACAGTGACAAATGGAAAAGTGGCTGTCCCCAGGTGAGTCACGTCCCCGCCTTTCAGGGAAGTCACATCCCTAAGGAGCTGCAGATTAGGGCCACAGCTCCAGAGGCCAGGGGGGTCAGGATGGTCTCGGGCCACAAGATGACAGCGTCACTGTCCCCCTCGACACTCCAAGTCAGAGCCGTGTGCCCACTCTCTGCACCCCATCCCCCTCACGCCCCTGAAAGGCAGTGCTGTGGGGCAGGGCCTGTGTCTGCAGTGTCCCCACAGTGTCCCCAGTGTCCAGAGCCAAACACAGCCTGTACCTGAGGAGGCAAGTGGAGGACAGGACCTCCAACCCCCAGCAGCCACTGGGCCTTGATCTCATCTCCCCAGCCACATGCCAGCAGTCAAGCACGAGAACCCTGACACCAGCCTGTCGGCTCAAGGAGAGCGACACCCCACTCACCAGTTCCAATATCAACCAAGAAGGATCGTGCCCACTTCACAGAGCGACACCCCACTCACCAGTTCCAATATCAACCGAGAAGGATCGTGCCCACTTCACAGATGGACAGACTAAGTCCAAGGGAGCCAACGTCACAGGGTCAAGGGCAGCAGGTCCGGACCTCAAGAGCACCACTATCACTATCCATGGCAAGGGCTATGGACTGCTCCTCACCCTAGACAGGTACTCGGGATATGGTTCCCCACTTCAGCCACCACCTAAGTTCTGATGTGCCCCAACACCCAGCAAAGCACCTTGAGAAAGCTTCTAGATGGAGGATGGACATCACCCTGCTGGACAGTAGTCCCTCCAGACCAGCCCGTTCCTCCTCCAATCCCAGCAGCAGAGATTGAGGGGAGGAGCAGAGGTGCTCCCTCCACCTGTCTGTGTGGCCGGTGCCCTCATGGAGTCCCCACCCGCACACAGCAGCTTCCAGAGCTCCTGTGAGGACCTGGAGCGGACATTCCCTCCTGCCCCAGGTTCTCAACAGCCAGACCCAGTGCTCTCTGGCTCCTGAAGGACACCTCGCCCCCATGGACCACTACCTGGCCTGCACTCCCAGGAAGTGCGTCTCCTGGGATGGAAACATGATTCACGGGCTCCTAGCGGCTCAGGTCGGCACAGCGCGCTTTCCCACGCCCTCTTACGGGAGAGCAGATGCACAGAAAGCCAGACTTCCCAGGGCCACGGTGGGGGAGGCTGCGCGCCTGGGTCCGAGCCCACAAGGCAAGCCCTCTCAGCGCTCTTCTCCCTCAGCTGGGAGGCTGGCTCCCGGCCCTGCCCCGGCCAGCTCCCCAGTCCTCCCTGGGCAGAGGGGAGACGCAGGGCACCAGGACAGAAGAGCAGCGCTCATTCATCCAGGCCAGTGCCTCCAGTACTAACCCCACCGCAGTCCCAGCAGTGCCTCTGAAGATGGGCCTGACCCTGCACCCCAAGTAATGCCCAGGGTGGATGCCTCTCCGTTCTGCCTCCTCCCTGATTTGTGGGGTCTGTACAATGGGGTCTCTGTGGGCTCCGCTTGGCTGAGTGCCCGGCCAAATTGGGGGAGGTTTCCCGCCAAGAAGGAGGGGTTGCAGGCTCAGAGACCTGGGGGAGGGGGCGGGCTGACTCAGGCATGTGGTTCTAGCACCCCAGGGCGAGGGGCTGGCAGAGAGAGCACGACACAACATGGCCTCCCCAAAGCCAAGGACTGGGCACGAGCGTGTCAGCCACGTCTGGATCCCCAAGGACCAGCAGAGGTCTGGGGAGTCCTCGCTCCAGACCACTGGCCAGCCACTGTGTCTGCAGCCCAGCACCTCTGCCCCCAAACAGCTCTGGAAGAGGTCGCCCCAACTTTCCACAGTACAGCCCCATCGTCTCAAAGTCCTCTGCAGAAGTGGGGACTCTTCCTGCCTCCCAACAGGGGCGTGGGGGCTCGAGGGGTAACCGTGAGGGGGACGTGGGGGCAGGCACTGTGCATTCTGGGAAGCCTCGCATAATTAATCACAGCACATTAATCCGCCTCCCCAACAATAGCGGCTGCCCTGCCTGGGAATCCCAGCTGTCGGCCTCTGAATGAAAGAAACAAGATTTAGGACATCGAGCGTCCTGCTTCTGCCGAGGGTGGGGGGAGGCCCCCAAAAGGGGAAAGAAAAAAAAAAAGGAGCGTGCATTCATTAGCTTCTGACAAAGGCGTAGTCTGCGGGCATGAGACCACTCACAGGCCTGTGTAATTGGCTTCAGTCGGTGGGAGGGGGCTGGGGGCTGCTGGTGGGCAGCGGGGCCGGTTGTCAGGGGAATGGGCCCTGCGGTGGCTGGAATGAGGGCGCGCCGGGCAAAGCAGGCAGCAGAGTGGACCCCTCCCCAGGGCCCCCTCAGTATTCACCTCAGGAAGAACTCAAGTTGAAGGACATGGCAGGAGCAGTGAGGCCGGCGGGCACTCCCACAGAGCCCAGCACCCCGCGCCCGCTGTCCAGGGCATGGATGGCATACTGAGTGGAGCCATGAGGCCTGCTCCTTGCAGGTGCCCCTGCCTGGAGCTGGGGGAGCATTCTCTTGGATGCCCAGGCCTACCCTGAGCCAGGAGAAGAGGGCTGGCAGAGCCCAGACCTCAAGTTCAGTTCAGGTTTGAAATATAGTCAATGACTTTCTGAAGCTCACCTGCCCACAGGTGCTCACCCTGCTACAGCAGGGGTACCGCAGGTGGCAGTGAGGGTCTGCACCCCTCGCAAGCCAGCTGCTTCTCTAGAACAAGGAGCCACAAACATCCAGAATCCAACCCAGAGTCCAGCAGGGGAGGTGGCCAGGAGGTGGGCACGGAGGGTCTGAGAGAGACCCCAGAGGCCTGACCAACTCACACGCTGCCTAATTGTGGGTGATTAAATAATTGCCAGACCTTGTCCAATAAAAGTCAGCACGTGACCCGCCCAGCCTTCTGGGCCATCTCTGTCAGACAATGGCCTAGTGTTCTGTCCTGGGGCTCCCGGCTGACAAAGCAACAGGTCCCCGGCGGCATACTCACACACAGGCCTCCGAGCCGTTGGCAAACACTTCACACTTCCCGCCATTCAAGCAGGTCTCGCCGGGCTGGGAACACCGCAGGCCTGGGGGGAGGAGCGAGGGAGACAGGGTCAGGACCCCCAAGGCCAGGCGCCCACCCGGCACACAGCCTGGGCTGGCCCCGGCTCTGCACCCAGGGCTCCAGCAGCCCTCAAGTGGGGCGCTCTCTGCTCAGAGTGCTGGGGTGGCAGCGGTGTGGTCCTGGGGAGCCCCAGAAGACTGGAAAGTTGTACTCAGAAATGAGGGCGAGGCAGACCGGCAGGTGGTGCCCAGAGGGGGCCGCGGAGTCCCTTGTCCCCTGCCAGGCCCCTCTCCCTAAATTCTCCAGAGCTCCGGGGGCTGGGACCCTCACCCGGTCAAGGAGACCCTCTTCACTTTGAAACGGGCTGGCGGGAGGGGGCCGCGGAGCCAGGGGCGGGAGCCTCCCTCTGCTCCCCCTCGTGGGAAAATGCGACAGCTGGGCGGCCCGCGCCCCTCCCGCCGGCTGAGCGCCGGGCAGGAATCAGAGCGGCCCATTGTCGCCGCCAGGCCGCCTCCTGGTGTCCCTGCCGCCCCGCCTCTGCGGCCACCCAATACCTGCTCTCGCGCGGGTATCTCCCCGGGCAGCCCGCCGCGCCAGGGCCGAGCGGAGCGCGCCTTTGGGAAAGCCAGAGACCCCGATTCCCGAAAGAGGGCCCTAAACGAAGCCCCTCCCCTCCCAGCTGACCCCCGGGCGAGGGACGCTGCGGTGGGGGCGGGGAAAGTGGTGACAGGGCTCCGCTTGGCAAGGAGAAAAACTTCTCACCTTCAACTTTTCCGGAAGGGAGGAATTAACTTCTAGGTTTCCTGGGGACCCTCGGGGTGGGAAGTGGGCCAGGTATCACGCCCCCTCCCACGTCCCTCTCCACCGCCACCTACACCCCAAGATCGTCAAACTTGAACTTTGCAGAGCAAAGCGAAAATCAGCTTCGCTGCGGCGAGTTTTCGGTGGCCCCCAGAAAAGGGCTCCCCACTCACTCTCCCCGTAAAGGAAGGCAGCGAGGGGACCATGGGGTGGCAATCTGGCCGGGGAGAAGGCCAAGGGGGCCCAGGGCCCGGGGGCCGACCCGAAGGGGAAGGACAGCCGTCTGTCCGGGCTCCGCTGCCCCCTTCCCGGAGCCTTTCCGGCTGCGAGCGTAAACGAAGAAGGTGGCGCGGGTACCCCACGCTCTGCGCCCCGACATCCGCCCCCGGCGCGGGGCCGATGCGCAGAAAGCAGGCAAATGGCTCCGAGAAGCAACAGGAAACCAAAACCGAGTTGATTCAAATCGAAAAGTGGCAGACAGCCTGCGCGCGCCGGAGCAGGCGAGCTGGGCGTGGGCCCCGGCCCCGGCCCGTCCTCTCACCCCGCTTCAGGTGCCGTCCTGGGGCCGGGCAGAGTAAGCCGGCCCCGCGCGGACGGTGAGAGCGCCCCAGCCGCGCCCCCACCCCGTCCCCCTGCCCCACCCGGTAGCCTCCGGGCGCGCGGCGCCGCCAAAGTCAGAGGCGCGGCAAGTTGCGGGCTAGCGGGGCGGCGCCTACCTCGTGCGGCGGGGAGCGCGGGCAGCAGTAGCAGGCAGAGCAGCGGCGGGAGCCCCGGCAGCGGCGGCATGCCTGCTTCCCCGCGGCGGCCCTCTGCCGGGAGGCGGCCTCCTGCGCCCGGGGCCGGCTGGGCGCTCGCACCACAGATCTCGCTCCCTCTCTGCTCCCGGGCTGGGCAGCGGGCGGCGCTGGCTCTCGTGGGCTCCGGTGCCGGATTGGCTCGCGGTCCGTACCCTGCGCTCGCCCCGTGCCCTGCGTCCCGTCCCGCGGCCGAGGTACTAGTGAGGCTCAGGACTGCGGTGCGCTCCGCCCCGCCGGGTCCCGCCCCGGCCCGCCGCCAAGCCCCGCCCCGCGGCGAAACCCCACCCCCGTACCCCGCCCGCGGTCCCTCTGAACTCTGCTCGCGAGCTTGCCGAGCCCCTCGGCGCACCCACTAAGATGCGCCCCTCGATGGGGACGCGCAGCGGGGCCGGCGCTTGCGCTCCGGGCGCCGTGGGGTGGAGCGCTTCAGCGCAGGCACGACTTGTCAGTTCAAAGTTTTGGTGGCCAAAAGTTTAGAAGGCGCCCGGAAGAATCCTGCTCCGCTGCTGCTTCCTCGGCGACAATTGGGGACAATTTGCATCTCAATGGCCTAGAGGAAACGGCTGAGTGGGGAAGAGGCCGCTAGGCTGTGCCGGCGGGGCGGAGCCCCAGGGAGGCCGGGTGGGATTGGCCGAGGCTGTGTTTGGGGATCCCGGACCTGGTGGGTCTCCACTCCTGCAGGGCCGCGCGGCGGCCTGAGAGCCCAGCCTGAGTCCTGCTGGCCGCACAGCTCTTAACCCTGAGGGACTGTGGCGCCACGGCCAGGCCTCTGGCGAAGGGACGCAGGCGTCCTCAAGGGAGGTTCGCGGTCAGTGCTTTTCTGGGGTGGCGCAAACGAGCTCCTCGAGAGTCTAGCCCGGTCACCGCCCACCTGCGGGGACCGGGGAAAGCCAGCCAGGCGCAGCCTGGGGCCCTCCCGCACGTGCTCCACTGGGATTCCAGAACAGGGCGTCCAGTGCCAAGCCGGCTAAGAGCTGGGTGCCCAGAATGGCAGCCACAGTCCCTGCTTAGCCAGTTTACAGTCTAGCTCTAGGGACAGGAACCTCATGTGTGCCCAGGGCAGATGCCAACGAGGTGTAAAGGTTGGAGGAGGCCTATGGGGAAAGGACCCTGGGCAGGAGCTTCCCAGAGCTGCCGGGACCCCGGGATTCTGAAGGAGCTGGCCTTTCTCAGGGATGGGCAGCCTTCCACCGGCCAGACAAGCCCCCCTCCTGCCTCTCTGGGCCCACCTGCTCCTGAGCATATTAGCGTGGAAACCTTGCTCGCTCAGGTCCTTCCAGAAGCATGTGGCCCTTCCCCTGGTCTTGGCTCACTTCTTGGGCCCAGGAGAGCCTCCCAGCAGCTGTGATGTTTATGTCAGAGCGACCCTCAGCCTGGAGGAGCCAGCTCTCACAGGGAGGGTGAAGTCCATACCCCACTTGCAGTCTTGGGGTCTTTGTTGCTGCCCTTTGCTGACCATGAGCTCAGTCGGCTTGCTGGGTGGTGTTTAAAGGTCAAGCTCACTGCCCTCAAGCCAGCTGCAGCTCACCGTGACGCCCCGTCGGTGTCTGAGGCTATAACCACAGAGCAGGAGACCTGTCTTTCTCCCACCGAGCTGCTAGTGGACCCGACATGCAACCTCTAACAACACAGCCTCCTCTGGACACCAAAGCTCTGACACACTAAGCTGTATGATACTTGCCAGGGTGGCCTTGGAGGCCAGGGCCCTGGCAACATGCCACCTCTGTTCACCAGAGATGTAAAGGGCCCTGCCTTCTTCTAGGGGGCTGGCCCTGCTGCTGCCCCAGAGGACAATGTCTAAGTAGGTAAAATGCCTTGTCTTACCCCATCATATCTCAAACCTCTCATAGCTGACTCTCCAGCAAATTTTCGGAGGCAATGAATTACATGGGAGATTACCCGTCTTTTTCTTGAGGAGCAATTATAGATTTGAACTGCAAACCTTTAGGTTGGTGGCACAGTTCCTTACCTTTAAGCCACCAGAGCTCCCTTTGATAAAGCTTCTATATTACTGCAATGGTGTTGCCAGAAACCTTCTTCTGCCTCGTACATTTTACCTAAGAGCAAACAGCACCTCATACCCCAGACCCTCTGCCCCAGGATAGACGGGGTCTCAGGTCTGGCTCTTGAAGTGTCGCTGTCTGTGTCCTCTGGTTGAGCTCTCCATTGGCCCAGGATAAATGTGAAAGTGGCCAGTGCTGACCCGGGAAGCTGGACACACCCACCTGCCCCAGAGGAGCCTGGGGGCTGGGTGGGGGGTGAGCTGTGCAGATAAACTCTTCACTTGGGGTCTTCATTTCCGGTCAGCTGGGAAATCACAGAATATTCCATGCCTGCTGATCTGACCAGATATTCCCCCAGCCCCCTGGGCGGGCATTTGTGCTCTGAATGGTCAGGCTAAGGGGACCGGTGAGGAAGGCCGGCGTGGCCAAGGGAAAGGACAGGGAGGGTGTGGTCTCCTGGCCAAGCCCACTGCCCACACTGCAGCCCGTACTTCTAGGGAGAAGCAAGAGGCCTCCCACAGCCAGCCCCTCATCAGCTCACCTGCTGGCTGGGGACATGCCCGGGCATCTTGCTCTCAAGCTGTCTACCATGCTGGTCCTCATCCCTGGGCCTGGGGGGCAGCCAGGGCCTCACAGCCACCCTGCCCCCGGGAACCTGAGCAGCACAGTGAAGACCACTAAGGTGGCTGCGAGACCCTATGCTTGGAAAGGCCCCTGGAGGCCTGGCCAGGAACCCCCAGCAGATTTGCACAGTAGGGGCTGGGCACACATGGAACTCAAACGGGGAATCTGTCCCCTTGTGCTTACTGGGCCTGCACCCTTATTCCTTCAGCCCCCACTTGTCACTCTCCTGGTGGTGTCTGTGTGTGCCAGGGCCAGCACTGACAGGTCACTCCCTGCCTATGTGGGCAGCACCTATTCCAGCGACCACATGCCTTAGCAAAGCTGGTAGTCAGTCCCTGGGGAGGGGTTCTAACTCTGCCTAAGGACACTGAGAGGGCTTCCTGGGGGGCACTCAGACAAACTGGGGCCACTTCAACAGAACACCAGGGCTCCCCTCTCTGGGCAGAGGAGGCCCAGACAGGCTGGCAGGTGCAGTGTGTACACCTGGGTTTGAAAGGAAAGGAGAGAGACTTTAGTCACCCCCTCTCCACTGTCAGTTGAGGTGAACCCCCCCACATGTGAAGTGGAAAGGGACAACAGGGCTTTAGAATCTCTTGATCACTGGAACTAAGAGGCCCAGGGACAATGGTTGCCAGTGAAGGGCTAGTGGGCAGCAGAGGGTCCCCCTTTGCAGTCCAGGGCTTGGCCAAGCCTGGCTTTGGGGTGCAGTGCTCTTAGGTACCCCTGAAGCTGGCTGCGTCTCTGGTACTTGGTAAGCGAGTCAGAGATTTTCTAGTTAGCTTCAAAGGGTAGAGGGGCCTTAGCCTGTGGCCTTCTGGAATCTTCTCCCAGCTTCTTGCTGGCATCCACCACTCTCACCAGACAATCACTCACCACAAGCCATTCCCTACCCAGTCCAGTCACCAAAGCTGTTCTCCATCCTGGCCTCCCCTGGACCTGAGCCTGAAGGAAGCCGCCAACACCAAGCTTCCTCTTCTGGCCCCGCATGACACCCTGCCTGAGGAGGGGAGACGGCAAGGCCCCAGCACTGCTGTCCCTCAGACCCTGGTGCTCGCTGGGCCTGCCACCCCAGAGCTAGTTTCCAGTCTCTGAGCCCCGACATCCTCACTGGACAGTGGGCAGTATGTTCCCCTTAGGCCTGTGACAGTCACAGGAGGTCCCTGGAGCTGCAGGAGAGATGATGTCCAGTGAGCCGGACTGCCCAGCGGCCCTGTACATTGGGCATGCAGCTACTGTGTGGTGCAGGGTGGAATTGCCGGGTGTCCTCCAGGTCCCCCCAGGTGACCATGGTCCTCAAGCAAGCACCCCCAAATGTCTGTGGCTGACCATTACAAAGAAGTGGACAGAAGCCCGGGCGGCATGGAATGGGGCTGGGGCTGGGTGGGCTTCCCTTTCGGATCCAGGAACAGGTCCGTGTCAGCAGGCCTCCCCAGCCCATCCAGTGAGGACGCCCCAATATCCTGGAGAAGGTGGGTGGGACATTCTTAGCTCCAAGGTTCCCACCTGTCTCAGATTCCCCAGGTAGCTCAGGTGCAACCCAGGGGTCACAGAGGGAATGGCCACTCAGCTTTTCCCTGCCTCCCATCCCACCTGTCCACATATACCTCAACCTATTCATCCCTCACAAGGCCCCTCCCAGACCTGTCTCCGGCTGCCCATCACCACTGCAGAAGCTCTCAGGGGTCCTGCTGCATTCCCCCTCCCCTGTCCGGCCTAAGTTGGTAAGGATAAAAGCCAAAGTCCAACACACTGCCCACTGCCCATCCAGTGACTGTGAGTCAGTCACCCTGCAGGACAGCGTAGGACCGCCCAGGCCTGAGGACCACATCTCTCTCCCATGGGGTAACTGGTGGGACCATGTCCCAGTGAGGTGAGCTCCCCATCAGACCCTACCCTCAACTTCTGGGGCTCCAGCTAAGTCTGGCATTCTTGGGGTCTCCTTTCCCACCAGTCGCTTGTAGGATCCCACATGGGGGAACCTTAGGCAGCCCAGGGGGGATGTCAGCGGCATACTGCAGGGGCTCAAGACCTGGAGTCCTTGGAGTCTGGGGTCCAGTTGTTCTTTGACAAGGACGACCAGGGAAGAACTTCATACCGGCCTCCCAACAGCCTGGGTCTCAGCTCCTCACAAAGCTGGCTGAGCTGGGCCTGAAGTGGGGGTCCTTCGGGAGTCCACAACACCCCCTGCTTCCTCCCGGGATCCCCTGGGAAAAGGTTACCAGAGGGGGCTGTGCAGGAGGCTGGGATGAGCTACAATGTAGGCTAAGACTGCCAAAACAGGAGGGCCCCGAGGAGGAGGCGGCGGCTGGGCTGAAGGGGCTGTTGGCCAAGGGAACCAGGGGCTGCACGGGGACAGGGGGAT